AAAGTTTAGTGTTATTTTCATGATTTTTGGGTCACATTTGAGTTGTCTTCAACGCATGACTTCACCCTTTAGTCTCGTTGAACGTCGTTAAAAGGCACAGAAAAAAGAGGGATTTTTCTTTTTCGGGAGCAGTAGTATGCAAATAGAGAACATCATAGGGAGTTGTGTGATACCGATACGTGCCATTTTTTACCGTTTTAGAAGGCAGGGTCTCAAATGTTAATTCTCTAGACTTGAAGGGGGCAAAATGACATTTTTGTCAATATGAACGTTTTTGCGACGTCCGAATTTGGGAAAATTATTCTAAAAAAAAAAAAAGAAAGAATGTTTTTTCTTCCACTTAAGAAATTCAATCAAAGCAGGGTGGCAATTGACAAGCAATTCCTACTTTGAAAAATCAAACATCATTTCCTTCTTCCACTTGACTTTTCGCACTTGCAGAACCTATTGTACAGAGCTTCTTCTTTACCATTTTCAATATTCTGTGTGTGGATTTTGGTTTTGAGAATGGAAAGTTTCTTCAAGGTGGTGCCTTTTTTCATCTGCTTTTTCCTTATTGCAAATGTATCAGAACTCAAAGCTGCACAGCAAAAATGCCAGACGAAAAGGTGCAAACACCAAACCATCCGTTTCCCTTTCCGACTAAAAGGGCTGGAGCCAGTCCTCTGTGACTGTGGCTATCCCGGGTTCGATATATCCTACATAGAGAAAAAGCGGATGGTGCTAGAACTGCCACAAAATGTCAAGTTGGTGGTGAAGCATATAGATTATAGAGCACAGAGGATTCAGTTATCCGATCCAGAAGGTTGTCTGCCACTACAGCTTCCCAATCTCAATTTATCTCTATCTCCCTTCTGGTTTACAGGAAGCTACCCACCACAAAAATACACTGTTTTCAATTGTTCAAGGAAGAAAAATTGGTATTATGAAAATGAAAAATACTACAAGATTCCTTGCTTAAGCAGTCCAGAATTCCAAGTTCTAACAACACCTTCTGATTCTTCACCTACCTTTAGCTTGGTGAATTGCAGCAGAACATTGCTGAACATTTCTGAGACAGCAGTATATTCAGAGATGTTGCATTACAAGAGAGGTGGTATTGTTCAGTTAAGTTGGTCCAAACCAAACTGCACAAAATGTGAAGCAGTAGGCAGGAAATGCAAATTGATGAATGATAACATACATGGCGAAATAGAGTGTTTTGGTACCACCAAGAAAGAAAGAGGTATGCTTTTAGCATTTCCAAATATTATCAATGACCTCATTTCTCACTGAGTTTAGTTGTTTTTCTTTGATATTGCCTTAGTTGTTGTGTTGCTTCGATGTTTGTTCTTTTTCCTGTTAGAGATGAGTGTCGTTTAGGATTTAGTTTTCCCTGACCACTGGCCAAAAGGCTATGATACATTGGTTTTCATATTTTGCACATTACATTGGTATTGATTTGAGGAACATATATGAAGCAGCTAAATTTCCTATGTTTTACAGAGAGGCGAAAAATTCTATTGGCTATGGGTATAATTCTAGGCTCCTGTCTTCTTGGATTGATTCTCTTTGGACTTTATCATATTCACCGCTCACGTAAAGCAGCGAAAGATGCCCAGCTCAAGATTGAAAAGTTTTTGGAGGATTATAGAGTGCTCAAGCCCTCAAGATACTCTTACGCTGACACCAAGAGAATAACAGATCAATTCAAGGACAAACTAGGAGAAGGGGCCTATGGAACTGTTTTCAAAGGAACGCTTTCCAATGATGTTTTGGTTGCTGTTAAGGTCCTCAACAATTTCAATGCAACTGGTGAGGAGTTCATTAACGAAGTGGGATCAATGTGCAGAATCCACCATGTCAATGTTACTCGCTTGATTGGATTTTGTGCTGATGGAAATAAGCGGGCTCTTGTTTACGAGTACATGCGAAATGAGTCCCTAGAGAAGTTCATATTTGTAGCTAAAGAAGAAGATCACCACCTTGGTTGGGAGAAGCTTCAAGATATTGCTATGTGGATAGCCAAAGGAATTGAGTACTTGCATCATGGTTGTGACCAGCAAATCCTTCATTTTGATATCAAGCCTCACAATATCTTGCTAGACAAAAATTTCAATCCAAAGATATCTGATTTTGGTCTAGCAAAACTGTGTTCCAAGGAACAAAGTGCTGTTTCCATGACAGCAGCTAGAGGAACCATGGGATATATTGCACCCGAGGTATTGTCTAGAAACTTCGGAAGAGTTACACATAAATCAGATGTTTATAGTTTTGGAATGCTATTGTTGGAAATGGTAGGAGGGAGGAAGAATATTGATGCTACAGTGGGGAGTGCGAGGCAAGTTTATTTTCCGGAGTGGGTGTATAATTGCTTGGACAGAGGAGAAGAGCTGAGGATTAGAATAGAAAAATGAAGGGCATGCCAAGATAGCAAGAAAACTTACAATCGTCGGACTTTGGTGCATTCAGTGGTATCCAGCAGACCGTCCATCGATGAAAGCTGCGATTCACATGTTGGAAGGAGAAGTAGACAGTTTGACAGTGCCACCAAATCCCTTCAGCGATGCAGATGCAGTGCAGACGAGTGCCAACATACCTAGGAAACCAAATAACAGAGAACTGCCTGTTATCTTTGAATTGGAATAAAATACTTTAACGTATTCAAATTCGACGAAACTATTTTTCCCTAAATAATTGGACCATATAATGTAAACCAAGTAGTTCTTTTCCACTTTTCCTATCCCTTCATCTATATCAAAGTAAAGATGTAATCTCGAGTCCTAAACATTTTATAGAATCATTATAAAGACTTGTATCAATGAATCAGCTATCATGCAAATACAGAATGTTTTTACAAGAAGGATTTTTCTTTATTTTTTTGATTTTTTTCATCTGTATTCCAGTAGATCAACATTTTCCCAAGTCTGATAACTGAACTTTTCTTGAATCCTTTGGCAGCTATTTCATGCTTTTGATTCAGTTCTTGTTCTTCTCAACTTCATTGGTTCAATTTATTTCTAGTTTTTTCTAGTTTCCTGAAGAGGGAGTTATAATAGGTCTCTTCTTACCTATTCTCAAAATCCATTTTCCCTAGGAAGGAATTACGAGGGATAGAGCATGTATTCCTATGAAGATCCAGACTGGTGTTCCTATGAAGATCCAGACTGGCATCCACCAGTCGAAGTGGTTACCTATCATAAGATATTTCCTCAACAAAGAATTCCCCAGATTGGATGAGGAAAGTTGTGCGATTTTTCACACAAACTAATTCATACCCTAGGTAACAACACTCAATAGGGTCGCTACTTAACAAAAAGGGTAACTGATACTAAGGTTTCCACAGGAAGAAGGGGCACAGGGCTTGTTTTGGCCTTGCGCAACAAAAGCATCAAGAAATAGAGACAGGGCAAAGGTCATAACGCCCAATGCTCCTACAAGCTTTGCTCTTAACATGCTAAAGGTTGAACAGGAGAATATAAGGCCCTTTTCTTATGTTTTTACGATAGAAAACACAAACCCAGATTCTATGCTTTCGTGTTTTAATTCAAACTGGGTCTTTCTCTGAGGCAATAAATCAAACATCTACCCAAACACATGATAAGATAGAAGCCAACTTACAGAATTCAATTCCACAAGATGAGGAAAACGTCCAGGTCCAACCGTCCAAGTTGCTGACTTTGAATTTCAAAGGAAGTTGCTGACTTTGAATTTTCAAGGGACTAATAATGGAAATCGACTAGTCACTGTTAACAGGAAGAGACTGTCGCGTTTCATGAATATAGGAGTCAGAAATGGCACTAGAGATGTTTTTGTATTTTGCGTTTTTCACACGGTTTCCTGTTGTAGCCACCCGAAAATAAAACAAAAGGATCCATTTTGAAAGAGAAAGAAGAAGACGATGGCAAAAAGCAGGCAAAATAAGCTGGAACCGTCAAGATTTTACTTTCTAGATCTTGCTTTAATGTTTTTTATAAACAGGCTTTCGATTTTCCTCTTCTTTTTTCTTTTTTTTCTTTTTTTTTTTTCCTTTTTGTTAAAGGCTTTTGATTTTCTTGATTCTTAATTCCATTCTTCTTCTTCTCCATTTTTCAAAGAAGGATTTGATAACATTTATATAAAATTTTAATTATTTATTT